TATAAATACATGGCTTCATTATAACTGAACAAAGTAATACCATGTGCAATAGATACTAGAAAAACGTTTTCAATTGAAAGAAAAAACGATGAACACCAAGGCTATAGAACCATATGTTTTCCAGGTACTTTTGCGACATTCAGTCCGATGCATCCTATGGACTTGTATAATAGTTGTACGAGAAGGACAACAAAAAACGCAATTGTTTGTATAAAAGTCTTCCTTCGTTGTTTGGAATGTGGTAGAGACATTGATATCACGTGACTGGGATAAGAACAAGAAAATTGTCAATCCCTTGCTTTTCTTCAGGTAACAGCCACAGATGAAAAAAACGTTTCCCTCARATCAACGGCAAATGTAAGTACTGCAGTATCAACGTCCAAAGCTGGAGATATCAAAAATTGAATCAAACTGAATAGTGAAATGAAATATATCATTTTTACTTTATCAGGTGACAATAACCATTGATGACGTCAATGATAACAAGCCGCAGTGCACTCAAGGTGAAATGCTGAACCAACCAACACCACCCAACATTGTTGAACGACTACATTGGTAAACCACCGCATTGCCATCGCATTTCCAAAAGAGATCAAAATAAATGTTGAATGGTGCTTGATAGAATGAACACTTCACTTCAAAGTGTCATTGTGAACAAAACAACCAATAGTGGCTCGCTCAACAATGTTGGCTGGTGTTTCGTAGAGATCTCATATTTCTAGTCCGACAGGAGTTTCCTATTTTTTATAGGCAATAGGTCTTGCTATTATATCGATATTGAATACCCATAGCTCCATTAGGTCGTGCAAGCACCAATCTCCAGTTGTATCCCACACATGGTTCCTCGGACGACCTTTTTCAGTAATGTATAATTATCAATCTACAGATCGATACATCTACAATGTGACGGAAAATGCTACAATTGGGACAGTCGTCGCCAGATTAAACTGCACTGATTTGGATTCCGGTGAAAATTCTCGTTTGTTGTTTCGAGTGACGAATGGGGCAGAGGGGGTAAGTCCTTATGTAACTGGATTATCAAGAAAACSTTTCTCCTCTTCAATGAAACGCGACATTAACTAGGTTTTGGTGAACTGCACAACGCGTTCCGTATAGCTTGTACAAAGCTGTCTGTTAAGTGCAAATGTCTCTAACTTAACATGCGTGTTCTTAGTTATCTTATATTATGTAACCGAGGATTTCTTGAGAAAGAATCCTCATTTAATACAATTATCCATGAAGAGATCATATTCTTAATCTTTTACAAAAAATTTTCAATAGAAATTTAAAATAAACTCAACAAGTGGATTAATCACTACCACCGGTGAGTTGGACTATGAAACCACAGTGTCATACACCATTAGAATAGAAGTAAAGGATCACGGACAACCACAGCTTATCAGGTATAAATGTTTCACAGAATGCATCAGCTCGCTATCATTGCGTTTTTACTCTCCCTATTTTGCGGTCGTTATCACACCAAACTATCAGACATTTTATCTTGTCGTCCATTCCTAAAACATTACCAAACTTACAATTCTTCGTTTGCTGATAAATTGCTTATACAATTAACAGAGAGATATTGGTTGATGTCAAAGTTATCAACATCAATGACAATTTCCCACAGTTCACAAGACAGATGTACGAATTCTTCCTTCCTGAGGTAATATAAAATAAAGTTTCTTCTACAGTGCGAATCAAGAAGCTTTGACCACCTCGAAGTATTTTGAGAATGAAAAATATAAAATGGAACAATTTTCCGCTATTCTGAATAACGAAATTGTACTATTTGTGAGTTTTCACAGGTGTTTTTTTTGGTGATAAACTGCCTATTTTTCTATATTTGTAACTYCGATGTTCTCATTGGTGAACATTCCAAAAATATTTCTAGTTAGTCACGGCTCTTCTATTCGCTTAAACTGTAAATCTTCTGTTCATTTTGATGATGTCGGGGTCCGTCGAAACCTCAAGTGAAAAAAAAAAGGAACCCCAAGAAGTAGTAGAGTACAAACACTAAAACTGTGCAACATAAATACCACTAAATACTGCTAAATTATGCTAATTCTATTGCTTTCTATTGTTTAATTAACAYTATTTTGTAGTAAATAGTGGACAGTGTTGCACACATTTAATGTTTGTACTCTACATGGACTTTTCGATTTTAATATAGTTTTTAATATAGCATATATTTGGCATAGGGAGATTATTCGCTACACGAATTCCTTGTTGGAAGAACTGCTGCATCTGATAAGGACGCTGGTACGTCTAGCTGTTCTTCAAGTGGACAAATTCGTTACAAAATCGTAAATGAAACAGGTAAATATACAGAACTGTGATTAAATATAAATTTCTTCATGGAAAGTGCTGACGACGCACAGGATTTTCGCACAAGTCAGGAGCGTAGCGAACGAGTTAGATTTCAGATTCAAAACCAACGAGTGCGAAAATCCCGTACAAAAGGACTTTACATGAGGAATTCTATATTTATTTTATTGGAAAACTCGATAACTGGAAATAGGAAATGGATAAGAAATGACAAACCTATTAAAAAGTAATG